TGTGTGTGTGTGTGTGTGTGTGTGTGTGTGCATATATATATAAGGCTACTCACTTTGTCGATGGAGCCAACCACTCTTTACCATAGCCATTTTAGAGGTACCAGCTGAAACAATAAAATGCATGGATTATCTGTCAGTGGTGGAAAAAGTACTCAGACTAATAACTTACATGAAAGCAATGTGAAAATACTTCTTTACATGTCAAAATCCTGCATGAAGCCCTTACCCATAGTAAGTAAAAGTGCATAAGTAACAAACTGTAATTAAAGAATTAAATTTGAAGTAGTGGTGTGGTCCCTCTGACTAATATATTAGATATATGAAAATATTACATTATTAATATTAAAGCATAATTGTGTCAGCAGCATGTTGCTGTTGTAGCTGCTGGACATGGAGCTAGTTTGAACTACTTTATATACAAGACATGATAAGTTTAATGATTTCTTTGTGAGGAAAGAAGGGAAAAGAATGTTCTTTTTCACAAATATGTTTTCACACTTTGTCACTAATCTTTGATTTTTGATATCTTGGATCTTTTAAACATTTATTGAAATTACTCTACGTTAAAAGTTTAGAGGGGAAAATCACTGTTTGGTGGAGCTGTTAACAGTTCAGAGACATCAGAAATGTGACCTTGACTACACACTTCTGTTTTTTTAAGACGTCACAAGGCAAAAAGCCTGGAAACCACTAGCTTAATCTTTAATCTTTGTATTGTATTATAGAAGCTTGTTTTGTTATCCACTGAGCAAAATCTTCCTCTTAAAAGTAATCAATCTGGTGGAGAGGGAAGTATGATCCTTCCCTCTGAATTGTAGTGGAGTTGATGTGTGAAGTAGCACACAGTGGAAATACTCAAGTGTACGACAAGTCCTCCTTCAAAACTGTACATAAGTGCAGTACTTGAGTAAATATACTTAAATAACTTCCACCAATGGTTTATGTCATTATTGAAACAAGCTAAGGACTGATGACGGGGTGGGGCATATCCAAAGCAAACCTCGTGACTGTTTGCACTTATAGTAAGTTTACATAGTTATTCTCAGAAACTATGAGAATAGCTAAACAAAATATGACTCAATGGCCTTTTTGGTTAGATGACCGAGGGGATTTTAGTAAGCTTCCGTTTAAGAAAAAGACAAGAACTTATCACAAACACTGTTTTTGCAGCTTTGTATGAGCTCAAAGACAGAAACACAGACACCATATGGTTAATATCACTTCGCATTAGCAGAAGCTAGGTAATAAACAGTGCTCTTTATTTCACTGTCTGGTGAAACATTCCATGAATCATCCAGTTATTGTGTTTTTTACTGTTTAGTAGGAGGCTAATCTTTGTGGTTTCACATAGTGATAGGCCAGGTATGAGTAGGTCATCATAATGTCTGATAAATACAGGCAGCAATGGTGAGAAAGTGTTGAGTTACTCTTGACGGCTAAAACTGTAATCACTCGGATACCTCGGTAAGTTTACCTTGCTAGCTAGTTGCTCTCTGATACGTAAGTTATCGAAGTTAGCTAGCTAACATCAGTGTAAACATGTCACCAGCGAGCTCACCTGTTAAGTCACCGCGTTTACAGTTAGCTAAAACACTACAACTTGTTTTCATAAGCGACGATAACTGTACATTAATTCGTTCGTTACTCACATGAATTCTTCTGTGTTTCAGGAAAAGATGAAATTTTCCGTGAGGATACAGCAAACGCGGAAGTAAGATGCTAAAAAAAAAGGAGAGGCCTTCCTCTGAGGATAAAAAACACTGACAGACACAGCGAGTGGACGCGGCTCCGCACGGCCGTTATTTTTCCTCGTCCACGGCGGCCATTAGCTCCGCCCACCGAGCATCTTCAGGAGTGCGCTGATCTTTGCCAGGGGGAGGTGTTTGTTGTGGGTGACGTCACCCGTCAGCTGACAGCGCTGGAAGGTGCTAGCAAACAGCAGCGGGGGCGCGCTCGTTCCAGCTCCGCTCCTGCGTGTGCGCTCACATGACCAGCAACAGTGGAGGCTCAGTCCAGAGCAGCTGGCTGGTAACTGCACCATTCTTCATGTTATTTCAGAGCAAAAACTAATAATACTTAACCAAAACATGAACACAACATGTAATATTTTGTTGAATTCTATCCATTCTTTTTTTAACATAGTGAAATAAGATGGGATAAGTTTTTATTATTCCCCAAGTAGGAACATTTGCAGTGTTACAGGAGCAAAGGGGAAACATTTAAGAAACATCAGAAGAATAATTTTAAAATATATTTTATTTTTATTATATAAGTAATAAGTATAAGTAATGATTCTTCCATATGTAGATTTTCAGATTGTACAAATTCCTCTGGATGTGGAAAATAAGAATAATGCTCATATCAATGGCATTGCACAGATTCATTCATGAGTAGAAATACTGATAAAGAAGTACTGATCTTGCACAGATGTTATCTATATTGCACCGATTCATAGAAAAATACTTATATTGCACAGATTCTTGTATATGTAAAAGAACTGATATTGCACAGAGTTTTTAAATCTACATAATTCTGAAAACGAACCAGTTTGATTGTGCTGATATTGCACTAAAATGAAGGGACAGCTTTTTTTAGTGTGTGGTGATGTGGGAGCTAGTTGTACAGCCTGACAGCAGCAGGAAGGAAGGACTTGTGGTATCTCTCGGTCACATGCTGGGCGGGTGAAGCAGTCTGTCACTGAAGGAGCTGCCCAGTATTGTCAGAGTCTTCTGTAGAGAGCAGGATGTGTTCTCTAACAGCGATGATATTTTAGACATCACCAGCTTGTTAAGTCTCTTGTCTGCTGCAAAAATGCTGCTGCCCCATATTAACTATTGGCATCCTTACAACAGTATATATGTCATGAGGCAACAAAGCAGAGGCGCCTCTGGGAATTTTTCATCGTGGTGGCGGGATGGGGCCTCAGAAAATATTGGGGGGGAAAGGCATACGAGTTAAGAAATGAAATACTGATACATTTTGTTCCTTCCTTACTTTACAGCAGTGGTTACTAATTATCTGATGTACATACACTAATACAGGTGCAGGCAACATTTGGGATATTACAGCTATTATTATCATATTAGAGATATTAGAGCTGCTAAAGTACATTTTGTTGTTTAACAATGACAATACAGATATATTCTATTCTGTTCTGTTCTATTCTAATCATATTCTATCATATTATATTCTGTTCTTTTGTTCTATTCTATTCTATTCTATTCTATTCTATTCTATTCTATTCTATTCTATTCTATTCCAACGTGGTCAGGAGAAGAGATGCTGCTGTATTTGAGAGGAAACATTTCATCCATAGGAGAAGCATCCATAGTATATTTATGATTTCAGTACTGAAATTTCTGTCCATGTGTGATACTTTATCAATCTACAGCCAATTATGGTACAAAAAGCTTGAATTGGCCCTTAAATATTTCTACTGCATGGTTTATACCAGTAGAGAATCTTTCGTGCATAATGCAGTACCTCAGCCAATAAATGATTATTATTGTTGTGTGTATTGTCTTTTGGGGTATCATTTTTCAGGTGACATAGATGATTAAAGTCCACTCAAGCTACCTTTAGGACCCCACAGTATTATTTATCATCTGTGTTTACCCAGGTGGTTTAAATATTACAGTTACGCAACACACTGTAAAGCATCATCAAGATATTTAGTCAGATCAACTTTTATTTTTCAGTTACCTCATTATAAATATCAGTTTTGCTCATTTCTAGGTAATTGAACTTAAGCTGTCTATTTTTTTATTTTCACACATTAGAACTTAAAAACAAAAGTTTAACATTTGGACTTAAAATGACAAGTTTGATAAATGAGCAACTGAAAATTCATTCATCTTATTAAATTAGGTTTATTTAAAAAAAAGGAAAGAGAGAGAGAGAAAAAAAAAAGAAAACCAGCATCGGAGCAGGCTGTCCAGGATCCATTGTCAGAGAGTTAAATCTCCCAAAAGGCACTTTTTTGTAGTTTGAGGGAGCAGACATGGTAGAAACTTGCTTTTTCATTAGTGTTATATACATCATGTTATTATTATCAGTGTTATTATTTTCAGACATCTGTAGGCTTGTATTTTCTATGACTGTCACTGGAAGCAGCTTGAAAGCTTGTCTTTTTACTGGCACCTTGAGCATGCATTTTATTATTAATAATAACAATTATTATTATTAATATTTTATTTATCTCATGTTTCCCAATACACCACTAAGAGCAAGTCCATCTGTAATTGCCAATATGACTGGTTGATTACCTTAATATCTCAATTCAGTTCATTTTTATTTACATGGAACTAACTCACTTTATCTCATCTTAAGGTTATAAAGTGGTTTTCCATAAAAACCACAGAAAAAAGTATCAACTTACATGCTGACTGTAAAAAAATATGTTTAAACATGAAATTACGCTATTTTTTACTCTATTTAAATTTAAGTATTTTACAAATTTGCTTTTATTTGAAAGAAAATTGTGTATATTATACAAGGAATGAGTACAATGAATAATACTGTCGTGAAATGTTTAAGTGATACTGTGCAGAACAATAATAGTGCATTTGTACATAGAGGGGTGGTTACAATAAACTGGATGAATAAAGCTCAGGAAGCGCGGCAGTCGTGGAGTTTAAAAGTAAAAACCGAGCATGCATATCAGTACTGAGGTAAATGAACCCATCTGTGGAAAATTGTGGTTGATTTGACAGCGTCAGGAGGTGCCGCTGTAAGCTGCACATGTGACTCACAACCTCACACAAACAGAAAAGTTGCAGCCTACATGTGCATTCAAGGGGAACTAACTGACACCGCCTATTTGTGTTTGTGCGCTTCTTTCTGTGCCGTCCGGACTGCAGGCAGCAGCGAGTGTCTCCGGCCCACTGACCGACGGGCTGCCCGGTGTGACTAAACAAACCCCCACCAGCGCTCAGGCCAACAGTTTGAGAATAACGCAGAAGCTAAACAGCTAACCTGAAATGGCGACCGCAATATACTTGGAACATTACCTTGACAGTGAGTATGTGGGGGTACACTGATGTGGCGTTAACGTTTTTGACATTTTACGTCTGTTTAAGGTTTAGTTTGACTGTGCCGAAGACTTTATGCTAGGCGGATAACAGGCGGGTAGCAGCGCGTTAGCAGTTAGCAGGCTGTTAGGTAACTAGCTCGCTAGCTAACTGATTAGCTTCGTGATAAAGCTCAGGGCGGGATAAAGTTTGTTAAACTCTTTATGTGTGGTGTCAGTTTCACTCTGAAGCAGATGTAATAATTCAGTATCCGTGTCACGCATTTAACAAAGTTAACCGGTTGTATTTAGCTGGCGTTTCATGTTATATCGTGTTGCAACACCTCGCAGCTAAGTGACCAACTACGAGCAGCGGTCGTAGAAGGTTATTTAAAGCCAGGGTGTCAATTTAATATAATTAACTTGACTGAATTTGGTTCATTTTGGCCACAGTTTGTGTTTGCGTTAATATAGCAGACACCATGCATTTGCAACCTGTTGGTTACCGCGTTTCCCGTAACCGTTTACGCGCCGGGGCGGGGTGTCCGAAGTGCGTCACACAGCCAGTGTTCATGGAAGCGCTCGAACTGGGGCACGCTGTGACTGGCACAGATGCAGATAAGATAAAATTCAACTTTATTAGTCTGGGGGGAAATCCGTGTGACACATATGGCTCAGAACAATACAATAACATAAGGTTTAATTTAAACATCTGGGTAGAAGCTTTAGGCAGGTGTTTGGGGGTTCTCCACCAGGAAACTAACAACATCAAGCTCTGACTTTTCTGCATTGTGGTGAATTTTCATGCCTCGATTTCGAACAATTCTGCTATGATCTATGGTAGAAATGTTGTTGTGCAAAGGAAATTACAAACAATTCAATGCATATAATTGCACATGGTGCAGTAAGACTCTCGTGCATTCTGTATTGCTTTTACATATTCATACTAATTAAACTTTTATTATTTAATATTATCCCTATGGAGTCAGGAGTCAGTGCACTTAAAAGTTTGATTTATTCTTCAATCCTCTCTTGTGTCTTTGGTTTAGGCAAGTAACCTCTTAAATGTGCATATAGCACCTGTTCACATCATTAACTAATTAATTTTAATTGATTTGTGAACATTTACACCTTAGTAGGGCAAGTTTCAAAACCTTTTGCACATCCAAAACGTATCTCACATATCTGGGGGGATTTTGACTAGTCATGTATTTCTCATCTGTATTGTTAAAGCTGACAGAAAACATGAATCCAACACATCTTGGTCATAAAGGATTCATTGAGGCATTCAAATCGAGTAGAGAATGTGACCTTGTTAAAACCTCTAAATATTTTCTGGAGAGCAGAAACTTCTAAAAGTAAGTATATTAAAAAATAAACTAAAAAAACCCAAGTGGCCCACAATTTAATTGAATGTGACAATCTTTGAGAGAAAAAAATCCTCTAGATCACCTCCTGCTTTTCCCCTCTGGCTCCTCGGTGGTTGTTCAACCTGCCTGCGTTCTCACGGTGCAGAGGATGAGACGTTGTGTGTCACCCAGTGTTTGCATGTTCAGATGTCCTAAGGCAGTCTGTCAATCTGGAACTCACATGTGGTATGACACATGTTAATTGTTAATGATGACTAATGCGTTGCATGGCACGGCACCTAAAGAAACACTACACACTGCTTCCTTACTTTACCTTAATGTATTTAATCTCTGTACAATAACTGATTATTGTGTCATTATTATGTAGTCGATGTCTAATGGGTTGCAGCTATTATAATATTCTCAACTCATATCATTGGTTGCCATAAAACTGCATTAATTGATTCATTCATTTATTTTTGCACATTGTTTGGAAGCACTCAGTTTCGCAGTCAATTGATGTGATTTTTTTTCATGGTTGAGACCTATTATTAGTCATCAAAGAGACTGAAACTGATACACATTTGCAGTAAAAATTTTAATTTTGGTCTCAATATTTAGAATAACATAAAACTTCCTTAAAACGTGTTTATGTTTTATGTCTGATAAATTTAAAGATAACTTAACATTTATGCTTCAATGCTGATAGGCTGTTTCTTGTGTGTATAACCAATCAGACAGTGCTGTAGGCGGGGCATTGCTCAAGACCACAGAATGATGACCACAGATCTATTTTTAAAAACAACATACCGATAATCTGAAAAATGCTGAATGTCAGAGCTGATAATTGGCCAAACCCCTAAACCAGTTGGAGTTGTGGCCCTGAGTAGCAAAACTGAATGATACAGTTAGAACAACAATATACTGGATGATTTATTGCAGGCTCAACTTTTTTAAAAGGCAGTATAGGGCAGACTGTCATTATGACACCCAATAATTTTTTTTTTATCTTGAACTAAGTGCTATGACACTTGACAAATGAAGTCACTGTTATGAAATGTATAGCTCATTTAAAACAACAGCTGTTGAACCAAAGTGCTTTCCAGTAGAGTGTCAGCCATGAATGTCTTCCTCAACATTATGTTATTTTTCTCTCTAGGTATTGAAAACCTGCCATGTGAGCTACAAAGGAACTTTACACTGATGCGGGACCTGGACAATAGGACCGAAGGTGAAAGTTCTACCTCATGATGTTTCTATCCTCCAAATGCTATGTAGATTTTAAGCCTTACACGCTTGTGTTTCCCGTCTTGATGTCTGACAGTGTCTGCTGTGGAAGAATGTCTGTAATCTACAATAACTGAAATTGTTTTAGTAGGTTTGCAGGGCCTTTAAGTGTAGTGTTCGTCATTTGTACCATTTAAAGCCAATTGTCAAGGAGCTAAATTAGCAGTTTTACAATGATTGTGTGTCATCAATAGTTCTTTTTTAGCACTGACAAAATCATACTGTTGTGCAGAAAAGAAAGGAGAGATCGACAAACTGGCTGAAGAATACATAGCGAATGTGAAGAACCTGGCTTCAGAACAGAGAGTGGAACACCTGCAGAAGATTCAGAATGCCTACAGCAAGTGCAAAGAGTTCAGTGACGACAAAGTCCAGCTTGCAATGCAGACATATGAAATGGTAAGTCCGAAACAGGCCTACTCATATTTGATCACTTGTCAGTTCAGTGCGGCTCCTGTCGCTGTTATCTGGTTTTATTGTCATCATGTTGCATTTCAAGTGAACAGCTCTGAATGAAGTATTTTTCTAATACCATACACATAATGAGTTTGTAATGTGGATGGAATTCTTGTACTCTAGGTGGACAAACATATCCGCAGGCTGGACGCAGATCTGGCACGGTTTGAGAATGAGCTGAAGGAGAAACTGGAAGTGAGCGGCTATGAAAGTACAGAGGGAAGAACATTGAAGAGTAAGTTGAGTCATTGGCAGGCTTTGATCATAAAACACTGCAAAACACATTTGATATGTGATGAATGTAAATGTTTTTCCCAGAGGGTGAAATGCGGGGGTTGAGAGAGAAGCGTGGATCCAGGGGAAGAGGAAGGAAAGGCTCTGATGAAGATTCTCCCCGAAAGAAAAAAATTAAAAACAGGTAACTCTGAGTTGGTGGTTCAGTAGTCTGACTCACTGGATGTAGGCTGCAGGTTTAAGCTTGACACTGACTTGATTTGAAACTGTTTACTTTTTGTCAGCATTGCCCTTGCAAGGTTCAGGATGATTTAAAATAGCAGATGGTGTGTTGAGTCATTTTCAGCCCCTAAAAATGGTACAAATGTCTGTATTAACGGCAGCATTAATGTGTTCCGTCACAGCACAACCATATTATGTAACTTACAGCTCAAAAGTCAGGTTTTAGTGACCAAAACCTCTTTAATCGTGTTTATTTCTAATGTTGATTTTTGTATTACGTTTGTCATTTAGCCCGGATCTGAGTGACGCTCTCCTGCCCATGCAGCCGTCAGATGTTCTGGACATGCCAGTCGACCCTAATGAGCCAACGTACTGCCTGTGTCATCAGGTGTCATACGGGGAGATGATTGGATGTGATAATCCAGATGTAGGTTTTCACTGCTTCTTTGTTTTTGCTATATCAACGACCCACTTCATTATGATCTGTTTCAGGTACGAATAAAGATTCACTAATTTGACTTTTTTTTCTTTTTCTTTTTAGTGTCCTATTGAATGGTTTCACTTTGCTTGTGTTGATCTCGCCACAAAGCCCAAAGGAAAATGGTAAGAATATTTCTGAGTTAAAGGGATGTTACCCTAGTTGTGTGTATAAGCAATATTGATGCAGATACCTACATTCTTATTTTTTTGTCTTTCTCATGTCTCTTTAATCCATCAGGTTTTGTCCAAGATGCACCCAAGACAGGAAGAAAAAATGAGATTTCCTATTTTCAGAGAGTTAAGCAATGTATGTATTTTTGGTGTAGTTTAATAGTGTAATATATATATATATTAGAGTCCTTTCAACTCTCCATAGAAATGGTGGGTCATACAGCTTTCTTTAAAGGCCTAATCTGGATTTGGAGTATAGCTACTGTCGTGGCACCATTATTCCTTATCTACTGTCTTCACTATGTGTCATTGGATGTTAAGACAGCTGTCTTTGTCCAGTAGCTGTTAAACAGATAATTTACCTATATATATATATAATTTTTGTGTACTCTGGGTGAATTGCTCTGGCAGCGGAGTTTCACAAATTATTACCAATCACACAGTCCAGAAAGTTTAAATGCTGTATATATCGTCATTACTAACAATCTCAGAAATCCCGGATTGTGGCTTTAGCATACTTGAAATGTCAGTTTTATAAAGATCTATTTTTTAAACAAATTAACAGCCTGCTGAGAATTTACAATTTAAACACCTGAATCCTTACCGAAACGGTGATGGTAAAAGGAATTATGTGTCAGATTTTCTGTTACTACCTCCTTAAGGAATACATCAGCACTGCGTAAATGACTGCAATTGATACCGGTGTAAAAGATTGTTTTGATTAGCTTGAACCAAACTAGCAAAGCAATGTAAATCCATCCTGTACTGAGTTTTAACAAAAAACCTGCGACATTTTTGAATGTATTGTGGTACTAATGGTCAGTCAGTCAGTGTCTCTTGTCAACTGAACGAGGTATTTAAGCACTTTGAAATTTTCCCCTGAAGAGGTTTGATACTGCAGGCTTGGTTTTATGATATACTTTATCTCATTTAAAACTTTGCCATAGCACATCATTTCAAACCATATATGGAAATATATATATTTTGTATAATATGAAATGATATTTTGTGGACACATTTTTTTCCAAAGATATATTTGTTGTATTGCTTACTTACTGGTGTACACTCAGATTTTGTTTAATAGAATTTTAGCCTCTTCTTTCATATTCAACTGTGAATATCTCTCATTTAGGTGTAAGCCACAAATTAAAGAACCAAAGTCTTTGTATTTTGTAAAATTCAGTATTTTATAACAAATAAATATTCACTATTACTAATGCAGTGTTTATTTCATTTCACTTTGAAATAGGACAAGAGTGTTTATAATGTTTTCGTTTATCCCTAATGGTGTCTAATCATGCTTCTACTCAAGTAGAAAAGTCTTTTCAATGCCACAATCATTGAAAAATATACATTTTACTGTTTGTCAAGTTATACTTCCAGGAGGTCTTACCAGTGTATTCATGTTTAGATGGACATAAAGCATTGTAGTCAGCCTCAGCTGTGTCAGATGTTCCTGTCACCTCTCTGTAGGTTGGCACTCTACAGTCTTAACTCAAAAGATTGGTTTCAAAATCCATCATCTGACTCCTCATCCCAGCTGCACTTTTCCTGGGTGGTCTTGTTGAAATCCACCTCGAAGTCGTAAACAAAGTCGGGATCGTCTTTGCGCCTGCGGTTCTTCTCGAACAGTTCATCCATTCGGCCTTTCTTGCGAGCCAGCTCCTCGTCATCCAGTTTGTTTAGGTTTTCCTCGGGGTCCAGGTGGAATGAGGAGAGGCTTTGCTCTAGGCTGCGGCCCTGCATGTGGTCCCGCAGGATGATGTGTAGCTTCTCCAGCTGGTTCTGAGACACGGCCTCCAAGTAGTCCCTGTGCCTAGGATGGTTCTTGAGCCTTTCAGCTGCCATACTGTAGTCTGGAAAGAGAGAAAGCACGAAGGACTCAAACAGCTCTGTGAAGGCAAAAATCTACAAAAATATGATGAACCTGATATGTGGTTCCATTGCCTTTAGTGTTTATCAGTTAGAGTGCACACTTCGACTGAACAATGTGGGAAAAATATCACTGTCATACATGACAGAGCATTACCGTAGAGATACCATCAACAGCATGACTTTGTACAATAATTTACATGATTGTAAACCCTGTGTCAGACACACTGTATGATGTATCTCCTAAATTAAAGCCTTTGCAGTTTTTTAAAAGTACATCGTTTTAAACCGCAACATTGATTTAAAACCAACACTGGTTCAGCCCTAGTGTGCACAGCTTCATAGACAACACATTACATTTTAAGTTAATTGTATTTTCTCAAGGACCCAAAAACTAAAAAAACTTCTACTAAAGCTGCAGTGATAGATTATCTGTCCACTACTAAAGTAAATGCCATCTATTTTGATAATCAAGTGATCAGTTTGAGTAATTATTTCCTGAAAAAAGTATAACTTCTCAAATTCCAGCTTGTTAAATTTGAATATTTTCTGGATTCTTTACTTTTCTATGACAGTAAACTGACCATTTTTGTGTTGCGGACAAAACAAGACATTTGGGGAAGTCATTTTGGGTTTTGGATCAAATTTTGCAACATTTGTCACCATTTCTTACACTTTATAGACCAAGCAAGTAATCGATTACTCAAGAAATGAGTTGACAGATTACTCGACAATGAAATTAATCGGTTTTTCTGCTGATTTTATGACAATTCGATTAAGTATCAAGTAATATGCAAGAATGCATCATTCACCTGAAAAAAAGGTGTGAAATTACAGTAATCAAATTAACACCAGTTGCCAGAGGAATTAGAAAGAAATATTTTACAGCACTTACAATTTTTAACGGTCTTTTAGAATTCCAATGAGTTTACCGATTATAAAATGTTCCTTATTTCAATTTTCACTGCAACCTGACTTTGTAGCTACGATCGTGTCTAACGGTAATGTTAGCTACTTCTGTTCTCCTATCTTGAACCGTATTACATGAGACACAAGTCATCGCTATAAAATACAACTGTAGTGTATGTGCAAGTTGCAAAGCAACAGTATTTCCTCACCAGAGTATTTGGAGAAGTTACGCACAGGTATAATTCTTTTTCGCACCTTTTTGGTCTCCGTGTGTTCGTAAATTAAAACTATGGAAGGAGGATTGAACTGCACGCCACAGCGCTTTGCCTGGAACCGCATCTTCTTTTATATTACATGCAGCAAACCTAGTTTAAACTAGTGATTAAAACTGATATAGTTTATCCCCTATATAATTAGATCTAAACAGTCGACATTAGGAAATGGACTGAAAGTCGCTTCAGAAACGCTTAAGGGATGCCTGACTGCCTTACGTTAAGCAGTGTGAGACAGTTCTGTCTTTGACGAAGCCTGCATACATTCCGAGTAAAAATCAAATGTTAAATTGTTTAATTACACTAAACGTCAACATAGACGACTAACCTTCTGAAAATTGCTTTTTAGTGTGTTTACATATCGCCTTATAGTGTCGTTTGATGCGAGTGTTTTGCAATTATAGTCAGGCACTATTGCAGCTTCCTAAGACTACAAAAGGGTCCTTCAAAATCCGCTTCCGTAAACAGTTCAATGAAGCGCATTAAGCACTGTAGCTACACGACAGTTGAATAAAAAGGCTGTAAACTCTAATCAGTGCTGTCAATTTACATTTGGATGTATTCTATACTTCTCTCTGTGTTCGCCTGTTTATCGACATGTTATTGTTTGGTAGCAAAAGGTGAGTGATATTGTTACATATATGCAGTTTAAATATACAGCTTAAAACAGCATATATGACTTAAATGTCATTCTTTTCTGAATTGTATCACTTTACAGTAATTGTTTCTTAATTGGAGCAGCGAGGTGTTTTACAGTTTATATATACAACATGAAAACTACAGGCTTCACAGTAGGAATCTCACACCTTTCAGTCCTGAGATTTATATGTTTTGGGGTGTTTTCCGTACTTCATATGTTCACCCCAATTTTAATGACAGACTCCGTCCTCGTCAGCGTGGAACATGACAGTGTTACGCACATTCCTGAAGAGCTGTTCTGCCACTGTTCAGATATTTTTTTTTCCCGTTTTTTATTTTATTTTTATTTTTGCTTTTCTTTGCTAGAGAAGTTATTTGTTCTGACGTTCTCTTTAAAATACTCCAAAGTTGCTCTGTTGGATTCAAGTCAGATGGCATTAGTGTCCATATCACATTTTCTTCACTTTTTTCTTCTTTAGAAATGTGTTAAATTAGGATAAGGTAAGATCAACTTTATTGATCAATAACCAGGGAAATGTACATGTTACAGCAGGTACATGGTTGTTACCATGCTGGAATATTCCTCTTCTGCCAAGTTCCTGCAGACTGGAACAATCAGTGCAGGTCTGATTAGAGGACAGTGTGTAACGTTTTTGTTATAGCATCACAGGTTTTATAACTTGTGTGTCAGTGACATAGGTGTATTCACTTCTGTTGTCCTGAGATACTACTTTGAGACCTTTATTTTTAATGTAGTCTTTCTAAATTATCTGTTTTTGATTGATCATAACAGAAAATATTCCACTTTTTTTTTAGAGGTGTTTCAATTTTGAATCAGGGTATTTAGGTGATATTGCTATCACTATGCTATTATTGATCAGTGTGCCCTGTACTTTTTGTTGCAGCTGAGAATCGGGACCATTGTCTTCTTCTGAAGCAGTGGCTTGAATCCTCATCAGTGGCAGTGGAGCTCAGCAAAAAGGGTTTTCACAGGTATGTGGCCGTTCATTTTCTAAAAAATGAGATTAACCATTTTTCAAGCTAATAGTGAGAATGATCAGTAAGTGATTTCTAATCTAATCTAATTAATTTCTTATAGGGAGGTGATTACCACAGTGGAGCTCAAACCTGATGTGCTCAGCGATGTCAGAGTTTTGCTGGTTCATCGATGGCCCAGAGGCGTCTATGTTGATCCATATCAACTCGCATCGCTGAGTGATCAACATGATTGGAAAGTAAGACTAACACTTGTTGCCTTTCATTGATACCAAACAACTGGACAGAACATAGCACCGATAAAATACTATACTATTACTGCTATACTAATACTGTTACAAACTGCATTAATGTAAGTTATGTGTATATATTTGTTAATTTAATTTTTTGTGTATTCACCTTTTTAAGATTTTACTAGATTCAGCCATTGACCTGGAGCTTCCTGCTCACAAGACATCAGGATTTGTCACCTATGTGTACCCCTCCCACATTGGACCAACTCCCAGACCGCTGAAAGTAACAATTCCAGTACATGGGCGCTATCACGAGCCTTCTTTTGTTGGGAAAACATTTACATCTGTAGACGTAGAATCTCCAGAGCTGCTGCTGTGGACCGAAAAATGTAAGACGATCAAGTTTATCTTGGAGTCATGTGCGTCTCTATGTAACTTTATACTGAAATCAGCACTTTTTCTGTGTACTGGAGTGAAGTTTTCCCTCCATATTTGGGAGTTTTTGCAAGATAAGATAAGATAGAAGTTATTACGTCTGAAGGAAATTCTTGCGCCAGACACTGCATAGGAAAAAAATTATGTAACAGAGTAAATTCAGTCCCTAATGGGAATGGGAAAGCAATGAGATACAAGTACAATGTGTTACTAAACAGACACAAAAGATAATTAAAATAAGACTAAAACAGAAAAAGTAGGATGCAATACTGGCACTAATAAGTAGTAAAGTAATAATACACATGAAACTGATATTGCACCTACTACGGATGAAGTCATATCACAAATGATATTGATATTATTTTTCAGTGTTGAGTGTCTCTACGGGGAGTCAAATGTTCTTCCTGTAATTACAGTTTGAAATCAAAAAGGAAACACAAACGCTGCTGCAGCTTGTTGTTAAATTATAGTGAATAAAGGTTGTAATCACAGGGGGGGAAAAACTACGATTTTGATCTGTTTTGTATGTTTATCATGACTTGACTAAATATATGATTTTGCCCACTTCTAATATGATCAAAACAATAACAGGATGATAAGATGTCTGAAACACATTATTTATTCTAAAACTATTTCTCCCTTCTAGGCACGCAGCTCAGCAGCTTACAGCCTCATGCTGCGGTGGACGCCCCGTGCACTGTCAGCAATTCAAGCACTTGTCAGTGGGTTAAAATCCAGCACCAGCAGGTAATTTCCTATAAATCTCTGCAAAACATTACATGGAAAAAGTCCACCTCTGTTCCTTTTTCACGCAAAAAAAAAAATGTCTTGTGTCCTGCAGGAGCTCAGCCCTTTGAGCTTCCAGTTTCCAGTTGGTGATGCGTCCTTGGTGGCGCCTGTATGCGGAGGAACTCTTCTGGTCACGATGTCGTGCTGTGCGGCGTTGTCCAGATATATGTGGAAACATCGAATCATTTAAACAGCAGCGGTCAACAGAACTTGTTCTGTCTGACAGCAGGATCATTCCCAAGGCACTGCCCAGGGCACGCAGGGAGATGACACTTCCTGTTTTGCTCAATTTAAAACACTTAGCTGAGGAATGTGTGCTACCTCCAGTCACGTGTTAGGACATCCTTTATCTCAACAACAATTTAAACAGCTAATAATGACTTGTTGAATTTCTGTGCTTTGTCTGTTCTTTGGTAATTTTATCTTTGTTAACTAAAGACACGTGTTGACTGTTGAAACTGTAGAGTCACGCTGGTTGTTTGACACCCAGCCCTGCTGACATTTCCTTTGTGAAATTCTTTCTTTTGATGATGCAGAATGCAGATAAGACTGCTGTAAATAAAACATTTATAGCCAATGTTAACACTGACTGTTTTTCTTTGTGTGAGTTTGAAGAAAGTCGAATGTCATGATCAGCTTCAGGAGCTTTATCCCCTTTGTGTTGTGCATCTCTTTTTCACTAGTTTACATTTCTTTCTGCCCGTTTTTGTTGTTTAGATCTATTTGTGTTCATTGTTGCATCTCTTTTTTATTGATTTGACTCTACCTTTGGTTTTTCTGTGTGTCTTTGCAGTTCTTTACGTCACCTTTCCATTGGTTTGCGTCTGTTTCTGGTCTTTGTGTGTGCTGTGTGTGTGGTTGCAGTTCTTTTTGTTTATTTGTGTTCATTTTTGCACCTCTTCGTTCGTGGTATATATTCCTTTCTGGTCTTTTTGTGAGTCTTTGCAGCTGTTTACATGTATTTGTGCTTTCTTTTGTATCTCACTTTTATAGGTATGCATCTCTTTCTTGTCTTTTTGTGTGTATATGCATGTATTTTTGATTCTCTTGTTCTTTGGTTTGCATTTTTTCTGGTCTTTGCCTGCTTGCAGTTGCTTTAGTCTATTTTTTAAATTCATTTTTGCATCTCCTTTCTATTTATCTGCACCCCTTTCTGTTCTTTTTGTGAGTCTTTCTGGTTGTTTGTCAATTTGTGTTCGCGTTGTATCTCTTTCTGGCCTTTGTGGGTGTGTTTCCAGTTACTTACGTCTATTTTTGTTCAGTTTTGCATTTCATTTTCATGTATTTGCAATTCTTTCTGGGGTTTTTTGTGCATATTTGCTGTTGCTTTCTTCTATTTTTGTTTCACTTTTGCATCTCGTTTACATTTATTTGCATCTCTTGCCAATGTTTTGTGTGTTTGCATTTGCTTATGTCTGTTATTTCTTCATTTTTGCATCTCTTTCCAGTCATTTGATGTGCATTTGCAGTTCCTTGCATCTGTTTGTGTGCATATCTTTTCCATCTCTGTGTTCTTTTTGTAGTCATTTGCGTCTCTCTGTCACTGGGTTGTGGCTCTCTCTGTACATTTTATGTATATTTGTATCTCTTTCTGGTTGTTTGATTATTATTATGAACCATCACCTCTAACAGAGACTCAGTACCAGGGGCCTCTGACTCTCCAGGCCCCTGGTCCAGAGCCTGGTAGGCCTATTCATGATGTCAGATCACACTAAGCCACAGTATTATTATTATTATAAATGACAATATACATTCCATGCAGATGAACAGTAACCTCCTCTTCTCGTGCTGCAGATGCTGAACTACATTACCTAAGATGCTTTTCGACTCAATTCAACTTTTAACTTGCAGCTTCTGTAGTTTCACCACGTTTCTCGCTTTTCCCCACCGACGTGTTATTGTGGCTGCGAGTATTAGCACGCAGACCTGTAATTTGTGGCTTCAGAAAGCCGCCTGCCTGCTCTCACCATTCATTCGAAACATTTATTGAATAGACCAGGGCTGGGTCGGTAGTTCCGCTTCCCCTTCGCCATAGCGGAATTATCCAAGGGCCGAGAAGATAGAAGAAAAGTTGCATTGTAAATAGTTCCAGTCCGTTTTTTAAAAAACTAAGTTATTGGTTCGAGGAGTGTACCGGAGGGCCCCCCCATGTTACAGCGGACGTACTTTTAACGGATTTACAGACGTTTTCCAGACCGTCGAGGATCGTACCGGAGTCAAGTTCTATTCAAGTTTAACTTGTGTGGAATCTCCGGTGAGCTCCGCCGCCGCTGCTCCTGCGTCGTCTGCGCTAGCCTGCGAATAAAGCACATTTCAACGGCGGCGGTTTGCGACTTTGCAGCCCGTGTTGTGTCGCCCGAACCGCCGCTCGGCCAACGCTGACTTCTCGGTGGGGAAACCCTCAAGGCTGTTTGTCAGACACCGCTTAGCTGTGAGCTCTATTAGGACTGCAAGAGCCAGTGTAGCTTGTCGTGCTAACGTAGCTTCTAAGCTAGCACATTTGTTGCCCAAGGAGTTGATGCTAGCGTTAGCCTGCTAGCCGCCCCTGTTGTTGCTCATTTGAAGGGCATTTTGAAGAAGCATTAGGGTAGAAAACCCGTTATATGCAAGTAAGTGTGAGCTAAATATCGGTACGTGGACGTTTTGAATCTTAAGAAGAAGCGTAAAGTGTCAGATTTTCATTCCTGCATCAAGTGCACTGGGAGGAGAGCAACTTTCATACTTCTTTTATTGTCATCTGGGCTCCTGTTTTAGCTTTCATATCACAAAAACCCTGCTATCATGTTAACTGTTCGATAGGTTAAAATAGAGCTTGTTTGTTTCTACAGTGTGCTATGGTTCAGTTGAGTCACACTTTCGTCTACTGTCTTTAGTTCCTTTTGACATTAAGTAGTAGCACTTGATTAGAGCTGCTAATGCCATTTGTTTTTATTGTTGATCGATCTGTTGATTATTTTCTTGATTATTAGATTAGTTATTTGGTTTGTAGATGTCAGAATATGGTGAAATTGTCCATTTCTGTGTCCCAGAGCTAAAGAAGACGTCCATAAATGTCTTGTTTTGTCCATCGATCAAAAGATAGTCTGCTTACTGTCATAGAGGAGCGGAGAGACCAGAGAATACTCCATTTAAGAGACTTTTTGTTTTAGATATGTACTCAAACCAGTTTATCAACCATCAAAATAGTTGGCAGTTAACCATTGTACTTTTATGATGCAGTCATTCTGTAATAAGACTAAGAACATGTCAGACTTTGCTCTTCACCTCGTGTCTTCATTGTTGTGGTCTAACATGATCATAGTTTGCAAATACCAAACACTGCACCACCTTCACTGATACTTCCACTTCAATGGCACCTTTCACTTCATTGTTTTATTTCACAAAGTAGTTCTTGATTATCTGCCACCACACCCTGTTGTGTTTGGAGCTTTACTGCAGCATTTTAACAAACATCTGCTCGTCTTCCAGGTTCCACTCGGTGCTTCTTTTCTCCCGTGGTGCCTGAGCACATCAGCGCCTGATGCTGATGTGAGCGCTGCCTCCCTCCCTCCCTCACTGTTTGCCACCCTCTCCATCCTCTCCTGCTGTGTTTCCCTGCCCGGTTAGCCGCCTGCGAGGCTTGCGACAACCTCCTTGCAATGTGTGATAACGGAGACCCCGAGGATAAACCCCCTGCCCCTCCAGTCAGGATGAGCAGCACCATCTTCAGCACCGGCTCTGGCAAAGACTCACTCTCAGCCAACCACAGCTCGAAACCGCTGCCCTCTGTGCCCGAGGAGAGGAAACCTCGCAACAAGATCATCTCAATCTTCTCTGGGGCTGAAAAAGGTGAGGTAACGCTTAGAGTGGATTAAGACGTTAACTTATTTAAAGTGTAGTGTTTGTAATCAGTGTTGCCATGTTTAATTAGACTAAAGATTTGGTTACTCTCAGGTGGTAGGAAGAAAGATCGAGACAAAGAGCGGCCAGAGATCTCGCCGCCGTCAGATTTTGAACACACCATACATGTGGGGTTTGATGCTGTAACAGGGGAGTTCACGGTGAGTTTTGATCGGTTGCTCGTATTTTTTTTCCTTTCACTGACTCCTTGTTTTAACTGTTGACTAAAACACATCATCACTTGCGCCATCTGACACATTTTGCTTTCCGTGGGTGATACACAGGGTATGCCAGAGCAGTGGGCTCGACTACTCCAGACCTCAAACATCACCAAGTCAGAGCAGAAGAAAAACCCACAGGCTGTGCTTGATGTCCTTAAGTTCTACGACTCTACAGGCAACGGTCGCCAGAAGTACCTCAGCTTCTCATCCTCTGGTGAGACACAAAGAAATAGAATGGATTTATGTGTGAAGTGACCCAGCAGTGTAGTGAGCACATACAGTTATGTATTAGCTTTGAAATGAAAAAACTTGAAAAAGATCTTGTTTAATATGTGACTGTAGGCAGCCATAAAACATCTTCTTTGTTTTTTGTATTCACAGAAAAAGACGCTTTCACTCCAGGGCCTCAGTCTGTAAGTATCTCAAGAGCTTTGAAAATGCAGCTTTATTTCCGTTTTTGTGGTATAAAGGTTAACAAGCATTGTTGTCGCTTTGAATTAGCCCGTCAAAAAAGGCACCGAACCCTCATCTCCGAACATCAAAGACATTGATGATGATGACGATGATGAAGCTCCTCCTCCGATTGTGGCACCAAGACCAGAACACACAAAGAGTGTAAGTCACCTTCCATAAGTTGGCTTCACAGCATAATCATTTCTTGGATTTGTTCTGAAATATTCATCTTTTACTTTCTATTTACAGAACCTGTGTATTTATGTATTCATTTGTTTTTTGCTTAATGTTTTGGTATGTTGTACAGGTATATACTCGCTCTGTTATTGACCCCATCCCTGCTCCAAGCACATGTCCGGATGGAGATACGGCCTCCAAGGCTGCAGACAGACAGAAGAAGAAGGGCAAGATGTCGGATGAGGAGATCATGGACAAACTCAGTGAGTTATTAATAAATCATTAACCTTGCAGAGCCACCATCACAAATACATATTCCTGTCATGTCATCTGCCATTTCCTTAAAACATGTCATTGCAATCTGACTTACAGGAACCATAGTCAGCATTGGGGACCCCAAGAAGAAGTACACCAGATATGAAAAAATTGGTCAGGGGTGAGTGCTGATCCACCATTTACTTATATAATGTACATAATGTGTAATAGGGTTTATATGTTGTTTACATAGTGCACGTGAGATCAAAAAAGGCAAAAACTGTACCTGATTTAAATTTGGCCGCTATCCCCTTCAAAGCAGTCACGTGTGCAGCAATACACTGCTCCCAGCACTCCTGCTATATTTGGGACGCTCCCTGGAAATCCCATTCTGTAAGTGCAATAAGCACCATCTGCAATGCACTCAGGATCTCCTTTTACTATGTGAAAATAGCAACCCCTTAACTCGAATTTTATTTTGGGCAGTTAGAAGAATTTGCACGGAGCCAAGAGAGTGTGGAGAGCAACGATTGTGTTGGTGCGGTCAAAAAAAAAAAAATTAGCTGATGCATCGTCATGATGTAACGCCCAGTTGCTA